CCACTTCTGGCTTTTTTCTTTTTGAGGAATCAAACCCAGGGCCTCATGCATGCAAGGCAAGCGCTCTACCACTGAGCCACCTTCCCAGCCCATGACATGTAACTTTTAACTAAATCAAATTAAGCTAATTATAATGAACTGCCAAGCCCATCACAATACCACTAATTGATATAAGTGGGGATCATCCTAAATAAGGCAAATGTTTCTAAAGCAAATCATAAGATCCTTTACTTTGCTTCTACATTCATACTGCTAAAGTGGCGCTCTGGACTTATGACCCTGAACACTGCCCTATTTGTGAATTTTTAATGCTCAAATTAACTCAGCTAAATTTGTTTTGCTATATTTTTCTCTAACACCTTAAATAACACAAGTTTGTTATTAAATTATAACTGGTTTCTCCCTTATCTTTGCATAATAATTTTATAGGCAAAATAGCCCTAGTTAATATATAGGTATATATATGTGTATATACATATACATATATATATATATATATATATATGTATTACCAAACACAGGCTACAATGTCAATTCCTTTTCTAAGACCCCTTGGAATATACAATGCTCACAATTAAATGGTAGAATTTTCATCAAGTCTGCATGTTCTTTTTTTGTGAGGATAATCTCCAGGCTTCCCAGAGCGGTATCTAGGTTTTTAGATTTAACTATTCCTCCTTAGGAAACAAGCAGATAAACAAAATGAGAAAAATAGCTAATGATTTTAAAATATTGATATATTTAGGCTTAAATTTATATTTACATGCATTTAAGTGTAATAAAAAGTATGAATATACAGCTTATTTACATCAATGACTAGGCATTTGCTAGCACTACTCAGCAACTCACTTATAATATCAGAAAGAATTTAGATAAAAATGTTATGAAGTTTAAAAGTTACTCAAAAGGCCATGAATGTGTATTTGAAATTATATAGTATTATCAATTAGTCCTCATGAGGTATAAGAAGAAAAACTTGACAGGTCTTTATACAAAAGGTGGTCATGGCAACCAGTGAGAGTGACAACCAGTTCAAGATTTGGTTCTTAGTGTTCTGCTTTATTGCTGTACCTAAAAATGGATTAAAATGATAACAAGCTGTGCTATGTCAGTATTGTGGAAAATTTATTCAACCACAAATTTTTGTAAAGAATGTTGCTAAATTGCCACTATTCTTGGAGTCTGGAATATGAAGAAGTTGACTGCCACCTGTAAAAAACTTCTCTTGTCATTTTATAGGAATCAGAATTTGTTTCTTATGTGAAGGTCTGATATCAAAGGAAGAAGAAATAAAAAAGCATCCTGGCTACAATCCCATGCCTTTTCTTCTATTTTCATTTAGTGTGTTAAATGGCCACAAGGAAAAGTTACATCAGAGAAAATAACTGAAGGCTATTCATGAAATAAAACTATATTAAAGATGATCCCAAATGGGTGTTGAGCAAATCCCTAGAAAATTAATATTCTCATATAATATTCTGTACGTAATTAGATTTTAAATTATCCTTTTGAGGGTACTTCTTAGAAATGTTCAAGAGCAAATAAACTTGCAGTGATATAACCTTGCTGACTGTATCAAATTACTGTCCAATGCATTTAATGAGGTGAGAAATCTAAGAGTATTCACACAATTAAAAAATACTCTAGCTACATGGTTGATTTTTCCAAGTCTTCTTCTGCCAGCCATATTTCTTCTTTACCTTTTATAGACTTCACACCATCCAACAATTTATTTTCATATACTTTTCCAGCATCTATGAGAAAACATTGTTTATATTAAAAGGAAAACAAAGAAGACAGTCACATAGTTATTGGGCCACAGAGTAATGCTAGTAGGAGAGTTTTTAATGCTTTCCCTGAGAAATCTTCCCTAACTTGCCATAAAATATAATATTACAAAGAAAACTCTCTTAGTGACAAAAATGTGTACAGTGGGGAAACTTCTGGGGCAATTATATTATGTAGAAACAGTCCTGACTGCTTTCTGACCCTCTTCCTTCATTTTCTTTGTTTCAGTATGTCCCACACCTCAGTTTTGTCCTTTTTCCATCAGCCTCAACAACCTGAATGAGTAAGAGTATTACATTTGCATCAATTCTGATGGCAAGATTCATGGTAGAGGAATTGGGTGATGGATCAAATCTGTATGGAGACAATTTATTTGTTAAAAAAAATCAGCACATTTTAGAAGAAAATAATGGAAAAGGTGACTTTAGAAAATTGCTTATAATGATCCTGAAAATCAAGCTCCCTGGAAAGGCTACACTAGAATTTGTATGACTCACCATCCGTAGGCAGTACTTGTAGTAGCTTTGTAAATTCTTTTTCAGTGAGTTCGATCCCCATGTTTCCCAGAACTTTTATGATATCATTGGCACTAACCTTTCTCCCTTTTAAAAGATAAGAAAATATCAATATACATACAATTTCAACCAGAGAATTTGACTACTATATCATGTGAAGTCACATCAGAAAAGAGATGGTCAGTTTGGGTAGTTTGAGGAGCATTTAATCAAGGGACTTCTGCAGAAGTCTGAGAAGAATGCAGGAAGACTCAGAGAGTGGAAGTCCCTTTGGATGGCTTTTGTGAGAAGCCTTTAGCATCCACAGGTGTATGGAAGGAATTTAGAAGGGAAAGGTTTCTGCCTTGGGGAAAGATGATAGCAGGACCCAAAGAAGAGAAATGTGCTTGCTGAGTGGCTATCTGGATTGTGGCCCCTGATCAAAAGAGACAAGCAACTGAAGCAGTTGAAGTAGATTCTCAGGATTTCTCTACTCCCTCTCTGGAACCTGCTGTGGTGCTTACCCCTGGCCCAATCCATATAGGAAAATACACAGTAAATGTGCTCATCAGTGTAGTGTATACTGTCTGCTTTGTCAGGACAGGGAGCAGAGTAGGGCCCACCACAATTATGTATTTGGTAAACTTGTATTCTCTTCATTTCACAAGCAATGTATTTGTAATATATGCTGTTACACTAGAGAAAAATTGTACACAAAAAAGTGTGAAGAAAAAATATCACTCATCACCCTAATATGCAGAAAGCCATTTTCTACTGTATCACTTCATATTATATGTATATATTATTAATGTATTAATAAATCAAATTGTAATTTTAATATAATAATATAATACATTATCATATTTCTCATATAATACATGTGATTGTATGTATAATATTAATGTATAATTTTAAAGTATAATCACATAACATATGATATTAATTATAATATTTATCATATTTGTATTAACATATATACATATACATCTTAGAATATCAAAGGCTCTGGAAAATATGAACCCTCAGTTTAGTACCCAGTAATACATTTTTAATTTCACACTATTTTCCATCACTGAACAAAAAAATGTTTATTTGGCTTTATTTACTTTTTCTTGATTTTAAAACATCTGAGATCAGACCTGTCACTAAATGGACTTGCTCTGAATTTACTCATGCATTCAAAAATCAAGACTAGACTGATAAAAATAATAGAAAGTTGAGCTAAGATGTGCCCTGCCCTACCCTACCAAGATGAAGCCAAACAAGCTCTGCTCACCTGAACCCCCAAAACCAAGTCTTGCTTTAAGGTTGCGACTTTCTATATGTCTACATTCCACCTGCAGAAACCATCAGGCTTGGGATAGGGAAGGCTCTGTATGTGGAAGCTGCAGTTCCTCCTGTGACTGGTACCTGGTGTTTACATACCATAAGGCTATCACTATCACATTTACTTAGCTCAAGTCTGCTTTCCACCAAAGTTAAAGGAGCAAGGAGAAAGGAGGTAGAGGCATGTAGCCGCTGCATTTTTTTCTACCCAGATTTGTGGCAGTCAGGATTTGTGAACTGACTTGCTAAGTAGAAGTGCTAACGACATGGAATATTTTTATGTAGATGATCTCCCAGCAATCTCCCATTCTTGTGTTATGACACCAAAGTTTACAGGCCCCTAGTCTTCAGCAACTGAAACATTTTATACTAATCCACCTGAGTTCATTTTCATTCTGTTGTACTGATGGCTTCAAGATGGGTCAGACTTATTGACTGATAGACTAAGAAATGTGATTTCCAAACCTGAAATAGAGATGAGCACAAGGGGAATCATGACTCACACTGCTGAACCTTTCTCTTACTTCTTCCCTTCACAGCAAACTTTTGTTCTTAGGGTGATCATGTCAGTGTGTATGCTTGCTTGCTTGTTCCACAGATAACTGGCTTATTAGATCTTTAAATATTAACAAAAAATTTAAGGATTCCGAATAATGAAAACCTCATCAACTGTGATATATCACATTCCTCGGAAGGAAGCAAGTATCACATATAACTAACTATACAGTTATGGAAGAACCATAATAGAGTATAGCTCTTTAATTTCATGAAAGGAATATTGTCTTAGTGATGAATGCATCAGAGCAGTAACTTTGCTAGAATATTATAATAATGGAAACAATGGAAATCTGTAGTTAGAGCAGAAGAAATCAGTAGAGGATGAGATTCTTAAAAATTATATATTCTTAATTAGAGACATTAATGTTTAGATCCTTCATAAAGCTTTTAGTCAGAGCCAGGTGCCAGTGGCTCATGCCTATAATCCTAGCTACTCAGGAGGCTGACGATGAGGATCGCAGTTTAAAGCCAGCCTGGGCAGAAAAGTCCATGAGACTCATCTCCAATAAACCACTCAAAAGTGGTGCTGTGGCTCAAGTGGTAAAGTGCTAGCCCTGAGCTGAAGAGCTGAAGGACAGTGCCCAGGCCCAGAGTTCAAGTCCCACAACCGACAAAGAAAGAAAGCTTTAGTCAGTTAATTGCTTGATATGGATAATTTGAGTACTATTGAAGCAAATATTGATTTATTTTAAATATTCCCATAAAATTGCTTACTAAAATACTGAATTTTAATCATAATGTTAAATCTAGGCGTGATAAAGTCCAACATTAGATTTTTTAAAAGCATGCATTTGATGAAAAACTAATAAAGCAATATTAGCTAATTGAATAAACTGAGGAAGACTTTTAAAACTCACAGTTTTACAGTAGTAGGTAGTATAGTATAGTTTGACCCTTACCAGTAGGAGTTTTCATTGTATCTATTAACTTTTTCAGTTCAGCCTCCTCAGTATCTGTGAAGGAATAGATAAGCCAAATATTGACATATCACTGACACTAATTAAAAATATTAGATAGAAATAAAGTAACATTTCTTTTTTGTTGTTGTTGGTCATGGGGCCTGAACTTTGGGCCTGGGCACTATCCTTGAGCTCTTCAGCTCAAGGCTGAACTTGAGCCATAGCACTACTTTGGCTTTTTCTGCTTATGTGGTTCTGAGGAATCAAACCCAGGGCCTCATGCATGCAAGGCAAGCACTCTACCAACTGAACCACCTTCCCAGTCCCAAAGTAACATTTCTTTAAAAGCAACTGTCCTACATTTATTCATCTTAAACAGAGTCTGCTTAATGGTTCTCTTATGCCTTAGAAAACTGACGACTCTGTAAACTCTACTATTTGTATCAAGCACAAGAGTCAAGATTTACAACTTTGCCAGTATGAGACAGAGATACTTCAATTTGTATTTTAAAAATAATTCTCTAGTATAATGAGTTGATAATGGGTAATTTCTGACTTACAGTTTCTTTCTTTATTCTTTGTATGTAAGTTGTATGTAAGTTAATACTTGAATGATTAATATGTTTTATAAAGTAGATCATTATTTGTAAAATCAACTTAAAATACATTGTGTTAAAAGCATGTTACAGTTTATAGTTAACTAATGAATTTAAGGTATTTTAGAATCTCAAATTTATTTTCCTTTATTGAATGAAAAATGACTAAGTTTTCTCCCTAGTGCTCATTTGTAAAACATACTCAATATTTCCTTACTATAAATGACAAATATGTTTCATGTAACTGAGAAGCTATAATAGTTAAGACCATTAATTGAAAAATGTTCTCAATAATTTAAGTTTTTACTGATCATCCCATAAGTTGCAGAAAGTGATATGAAGACAGTATCAATTATCCATTGTTACTAAATCTACATTGAGAATTTTTGTTCCTTAATTTCTCCTCTATCTAAAAAGTCAATTAGGCTGTTACTTGTTTTTCAGCAGATTTATTGAACTGTTATAAATATAATTCTCATACCCTATAGGTGCCTTTTAGTATATGTATAGGGTTCTGCAATAATGACTACAATCTAAGAATGTTTTCCCCTCAAATATCAGATCCATTAGCCTGATATCTCTACTTCCAAAGAACCTAATGTATTCTCTGTCTCCATAAAATCAATTTCGGACTTTCATACAAACTTATCCACAAACTCTTTTGTAGGTTGTGATCCACTTCACTTTAATACTAACTTAGTTCTAACAGTGATTAGAATTTGCTTCTAGATCATTAGAAGGAATGCCTGAGAATATGCCTTTGGAGGATGTAGTGCTGTGGCTAAAGTGGTAGAGAGCTACCCTTGAACAAAATATCTCAGGGCCAACACCCCAGTCCTGAGTTCAAGCCTCACAAAGGACAAAAACAAACAAACAAATCATCATATATGCCTTTCAGTTATGGAAACTGGGTTAAGTAGTGAAATACGCAACTCTATAACAAAAAAGTATTCCCTATATTATGATTTGAATGGCTAATAGCATTCAACTCTAAGAAATTAAAGATGCACAATGAAAAGGCTGTGGAATGTCTCTGATGTTAGTAATCTCCAATTTGTGTGTGTGTGTGTGTGT